CTCCCCGCTGCCGGGCGCGTGGATGCGCGCGCGCGCCGCGGCGCTGGCCGGCCTGGCGCGCGCCGCGCACGCCGCCAGGACGCTCTGCACGCAGCCGCCGCCCGCCATCGCACACGCCTTCTCGCAGGTACGTCGGGAATAATTACATGGTTTGATTAATATCCGAAACAGGTAGACAGAAGTAGACATTTTAAATGTATAATATCCTAATCTACTACACAGTGCTGACAACACATTACCTGCACAAGCCTTATTAAGCACAATAATCAAATTCTAAACTTTTGTGTCCTATACAGCGTTCTGTTGCTATCTATATCAATTTATACATCCAATTTCATCAAAATTTCAAACTAATTTATGCGCAAACGTTGCGCAAAGTTACAATGCGCATACAAAGTTTGTCATTGCGCAACAAGCTCCTAATCTTTAAAACTAGAACAAAAAACAATTGGACTATTTCTAAACTCCCATATATGTTTATCCTTGCCTTCATCCCCCATAGACTAGCCGCGATCCTGCCCTGAAGGCCGGGGCCTTCGCCCCCGCGGTCCGCAAGGCGGCGCGCGCAATGTGGCAGGTCGCACACAAGTACTCCGCCATAGCGCGCACTGCATTCCACGCTGATGATTCTACGCTACGTCATCTACAAATGTATCCTTTTCTGTAGAAAAATAATCAGAAAACTCTGTTTATAATCAGCGAAGTTATCCGCGGTCAAGCATAAGAACATACAGGCGGATTGAGGAACGCTTACCTTTTCTTAGAGTCGATTAAAATCGTTCTTCAGAAACACGCTTAAATGCCTGAAGGGTTTTTATAAGAGCTATTAGTTGTTTGTGTCGTTACGTATCGCTTACACGGATTCAGATGGAATTATAGTGCGTATTGTACTAAAATATTTTTTTAACTGAAACAATTTTTTGATTCCATATTTTATAGCAATCTTCAAACTCTTGAAAGCAGCCAAATTATTTTAGTAAGCATTCCTGAACAAAGAACACCAGTTCTCAGCACACATATAGCCAACTAGCTCAATTCTTGGAGCGAGTGACCTCCAACAGTCAGGAGCGCCCTCCAGAGCTGGACAACGTGGACCTGAAGCCCACTACCCTGGAGGAGAAGATAGCTCTGTCTGCCAGTACTCAACTTACTGAGATCTCCAGCAAACTCTTCGATAATCCCACTACTGGTCCAGGAATTACGCACAGGGTAAGTCTAAATTGATAATTTTGTTACCTTAGGTCACTTGTTGGGCTAGTAATAAGAGATACCTTTTTGCTAACTAGATGGTGCTAAAGAACAGTAAAGTTGGAAGTCGTTGTAACTTTAAAAAGTAAATTATTTTCAACCTTTATTACTTATCAATTATGGTCTCCCATCGATCGAAGAAAGGATTTATCAGTTATTCGTTCTAGCTTTTGCTCGCAACATCGTGCTTTTGCTTACTGCTGTTGCAAATAATGCAAGCAATGAAAGTTTTTCATTGCAATGCAATGAAAACCCTTTTCAACAAAGAGTAAAGTTTCGTAAGATTAACGTCATAGAGAGCCGAAACAGACTCGTGTCTGAAATCGAGACATCTTTAGGGAGAATCTCTGATTGGGGTGCTGGTACAGTTTAACCCCACTAAGACACAGGTCTGCGTGCTTACCGCTAAGAAACTGCCGTCGGTCGTCTCTCCTCAGTTTCAAAGCACCCCCTAACTGCCTCAGCCGCTATTAGAATACTTGTCAGCATTTCGAGCGGCGTCCAGTTTCGCGGTCATCTAGAGGATAAGGCCAAATTAGCCTCGAAGAAGCTTGGTGTGCTCAACAGATCGAGACAGTATTTCACCCTGGCCCACCATCTGCTTCTATATAAGGCCCCACATGGAATACTGTTCTCATCTTTGGGCTGGGGCACCAGCTTCTTACTCTGGACCGCGTTTAGCGGCGCGCCGTTTGGATTTTTGGATGTCGGGATGTTTTAAACAGACTCGACACTTTGGCAATGCGTAGAGATGTAGCTTCGTTGTGCATTTTCTATCGCTTATACCACGGGGAGTGCTCTGAGGAATTATTTGAACTGATACCTGCCGCATTTTTTCGCCATCGACCCTCACGACAGTATATACATCCCCACCATTCTTCTCACGTAGCTTTCTGCCTCGCACAGCAAAACTGAGGAATGATTTGTCGTCGGCGGTATTTCCCAACCATTACGATCTTCAAACCTTCAAGAAAATAGCGTATTCCTTTTTAAAGGGCCGGCAACGCACTCTGACTCCGGGTTGCGGGTGTCCATGGGCGGCGCTGATTGCTTATCATCAGGTGATTCGTCTGCTCGTTTGTCTCCTATAAAAAAAATAGCTTTCCGCTCGCGTTCAATTCGGTTATATCGCGCTTTTTAGATTTTTTTGTGGGAATGAGAAGTTCTGCCTCGGTAAAGCCTTGCTTTTCAAGGACTCCAACTACCTTCATACCAAATTTCTTCAAAATCCGTTTAGCCGTTTAGGCGTGAAAGAACAACAGACAGAAGGAGTTATTTTCGCTTTACCACAAATACCATCCTCCCATTTCAATTAAAAGACTTCACCTAACTAATATACAGCTACTGTATCAATCAACCTAACTACCTAGAAAAATAAAAACACTTGACTAATCAAACCTATTATTGAGCGAACGAAAAATAATCAGTCACAGTGCTAGATGCTTACACTAAAATGAAATTGTTACGGAAGCTCGGAATCTATACTTTCGCCGGTAACGAAACCATAGCGCCATCTAACTCGATCCTATCCTAATGCCATCTATCGAGTGTTGAAACAACAGCGTACAATTTTTTTGCTAATTGTTGAATATTACATTAAAGTGTAAACACTTCTCAGCATCACACTATTTTTGTATTGTTTACACATTATTACATAAGCCCGCCATTGTATACACATGTGTACATAAAGTGTTAAAATAAATAAATATTGTTAACGCTATGATTTCGTGTACCTTTAACAACCTAAAATGTATAAGATACACAATTTAATGTAAAATGGTAGGAACCAAAAGTTAATAGCTAAAACTACTTAAAAACTCAAAGTTACCACTTTTTTAAAACACCCAGCGCCATCTATCTACATAAATACCAATTATTAATTCGTTGATTTGTTTAAACAGTTTAAAAGCGAAAAATACTTATTACATTACCACGTTTTTAATAACACATAGCGCCAACTATCGCTAAGTAGCGTAACTACTAGGTACATAGATACCAATTAGTAATTCGTTGACTATATATGAGTCGAAAAGTGCACCGAATAAGTGTAGGTAGCGCTATCTATAGCAAAATCAATCTTAGATCAACCTTAGCTTTAATCTATTAAAGCGTGAGATTTCCAATTAGTATATAATTCGTTGACTTGTTTTAATTGACATACAGCGCCATCTATACCAATATTTTTTATTTCCTTTGGGACTATCAAATTTTTCCGGAATAAAAAGTACCCTATTATTTAATCCGGACTTTTAACTTTACGTCTCCAAAATTTCAAAACAATCGGTTTAGAAGTTACAGCGTGAAAGCGGAACAAACAAACAAACTCACTTTCCCATTTATAATAGTAAAGGATTAAAAAAACCTTGAAATTAAAGGTTGGGCCATATGCCTATTCGCAAATTCACAATCTTGTCCCTGCACAAATCGAGCTGAAAGTCACAACCGTACGGTTCATTGCCTACAACACTTTTGTCACCTGGCTGCTAACGATTGATACACATACGTCCAATACCGTCTTTACCATAAGGGCACTCGGGGCCCGTGCCTAGGGCCCCCATCGTCAGGGGGCATATATGTTTGTCAATGCACCCACAATACAGGAGAAAATCCTGGCGTGAGTAACGTTAAAAGAAAACAAAATAACATTCTAAACCGGCTCCGAATTATTGTGTGCCCAAGGGCCCCAGCGTAGTCTAAGACGGCCCTGCCCAGTCTTCATGCATACGTCCCAATATGTACGTTGGGACACACGGCCCAATGTGTACTGACGACTTCTACTATACTACTCCTGTGGACCGCAGCGGTGTTTCAAGACATAATATTTTCTATCTAGCACATGGAAGCAGTCCTAGCCGCAGTAGCGGCGTGTAGCGGGGGCGCGGTGTGGCCGCGGGGCGTGTGTGCGGGGCGCGCGGGGGGCGCACACTGCCGCGTGTCGCTCAGCCCCGCCTGGAGGCTCGCCTCCACCACGCCGCCCGACCACGCCGCCACGCTACCGCTCAGCCATCGACTGGCACTCAAACTGGAGGGCGTCGTACTGCCGCCTGTACCACTCAGGTATATAGCTCTAGTACCGTGTCCCCCAGCCCCGCCTGGAGGCTCGCCTCCACCACGCCGCCCGACCACGCCGCCACGCTACCGCTCAGCCATCGACTGGCACTCAAACTGGAGGGCGTCGTACTGCCGCCTGTACCACTCAGGTATATAGCTCTAGTACCGTGTCCCCCAGCCCCGCCTGGAGGCTCGCCTCCACCACGCCGCCCGACCACGCCGCCACACTACCGCTCAGCCATCGACTGGCACTCAAACTGGAGGGCGTCGTACTGCCGCCTGTACCACTCAGGTATATAGCTCTAGTACCGTGTCCCCCAGCCCCGCCTGGAGGCTCGCCTCCACCACGCCGCCCGACCACGCCGCCACACTACCGCTCAGCCATCGACTGGCACTCAAACTGGAGGGCGTCGTACTGCCGCCTGTACCACTCAGGTATATAGCTCTAGTACCGTGTCCCCCAGCCCCGCCTGGAGGCTCGCCTCCACCACGCCGCCCGACCACGCCGCCACGCTACCGCTCAGCCATCGACTGGCACTCAAACTGGAGGGCGTCGTACTGCCGCCTGTACCACTCAGGTATATAGCTCTAGTACCGTGTCCCCCAGCCCCGCCTGGAGGCTCGCCTCCACCACGCCGCCCGACCACGCCGCCACACTACCGCTCAGCCATCGACTGGCACTCAAACTGGAGGGCGTCGTACTGCCGCCTGTACCACTCAGGTATATAGCTCTAGTACCGTGTCCCCCAGCCCCGCCTGGATGCTCAAGGTCATACACAAATTACGGAACAAAATACTCGAAAGTGCTCAAATTGTTTCAAGCCACAAACGGGGCTCATAATCATGAACTTTATGCACAGCGAAGGCGCTGTCAGTCGGCTGCGTTGCGCATAAAATGTCAATCATAATATTTGTATTCCCCAGTAAACGCCAGAAGCCGCGCCAAGTGAAGGGAGTTCAGATTACGGTGACTGCGACACCACATCCTCGCACTAATGAAAAGGTAGACACCCTTATGTTTTAATTAATACTAATTAATAGTGCCGAATAATAAATGACGCTTTACTTGAATTGTAAAGACACTTTAACTGAACAATTACAAGTTTTAACTGTCAGCTTAGTCTTTAATTTCAAGTCAAACAATTTTTTGAGGATTAAAATTTTCATTGCGCCCAATTTATGAGTCAATCCCAATAATTGATTTCACTTTCTAAATAAAACGATTGCCAGCCTCATCTATATCACATTTTATTATATTAACATCTCTAACTACTATCTTTAAAACATCACAATTTCGTCCGTAGACTGTAGAACTGAACAACATCCCGCCAGTTCTGACAGCGGTGCAGACAGTGACACCTGTCCGTGACTTCTTCTCCGCCCAGCAACTGGTGTCAGTGTCCACGCCGGGACTGTATACTGTCGCAGTTGAAGCGGCCTTCGTCGATGAAAACGATCAGCTGTGGAACACTGGCCCGAGAACTGCCATTGTAATTAAGGTAAGGATTTAGGACAAAATAAAGTTAAATCTAACAAAAAATTTAATTAAAATTTCTGATTAACCATTCGGGAATGAAATGCGTAACTTGTATTAAAAGTAAAGTAACTTGTATTAAATAGTGAAAAGTGGGTGTTACATTGTACAGTGGCATTAAGTGCCGTAATGTGCACCTCTGCCTACCCCTTCGGGGATAAAAGGCGTGATGTTATGTTATGTTATGTCTCCGTCAGTGAGTCCGGCTCGCACTTGGCCGGCTTATTAATATTGATATTCGTTTCAGGCTCATGAAGATCCGAGCGTGAAAGGCAGCACGCAAGCTACACGCAGCAGATTTTAGAAAATTGTCTTACAACGTGGTAACACGACAAATAACATAACTAGTCGTGTCAAACCCAACTTTCGACGTTGATCACAGTCGAACAAAATTGTCTGAAAAAATCGCCGAATCTAAAAGCTAGAAAGAAAAGTAAAGAGCAAGATTGAACGGACTGATTAACACGATGAAAACAAGACAACAAGGCATAGCCGGCAGAGCCGCTGCAAAGTCAAAGTCAAAATCATTTATTTCAATAGGATAGATGACTAATTTTTAATTTTCATGTCCGTCTGGTAGATTATTTGAAAACATTAGACGCGTATTTTTAATTTTTTTAGGGAAACGAATAGTTTCGAATGTATATTGATTTGAAATATCGCATGACGTCACTTCTATGTACATTTGATACGTAGATATGACGTTTTAGCCCCCACTCGTTATATCTAAATATGATTTTATTATACAACAAAATAAAAAAATACGTGTAATATTTTTTGATTACCTAACTGACGGACTAATTAGACTTTTAATTTTCATACCTTGTCATCATCCCTATTAGACTAGGAAGGCACTATAGAATGTCAATAAAAACAATTAGAAATGAAACTGAAACAAGTGCAAATAGCACTTAAGTCAAAATCAAAATGACTTGAATTCAAATAACATTTATTATATGTAAGTTTTATTTTACTTAATTTGTAAAGTCGTTGATCTTTCATTTGATGTCCAAATACTCAATCGCCACTCAATATTAACGCGTATAGTTCTGTCGCTTCAAATTCTTTGTAAAATGACAGAGATGGCACGATATTTAAGTACAATTTAGAACTGAGTAGACTTTCAGTATTTGGGCTTTAGTCTTAAAACTTTAATCGAACTCTGGGGAAAATGTATGTTTGTTCTATTCTATAGATAATAATATAGATAGAGGTGTAATGTTGTATGCTGCATACATGCATTATATTATTGACTAAGATTATTATTTCTTGTGTTTATATATACCTATATAATTAAGTATTGTTTCTCGAATAAGATACCTAAGTACATATTTTAAGAATATATTCTATATAAATACGTAGTTATGATGACTTGTAACAAGAATTTTTGCGTAAAAAACAAATAAAATTCATAAAATATAAACTCTTGTTTTTATTATAAATAGCCCAATGAAAGACAAAGGATAGTTAGGGAGATATGACACATTCATTACTACAGGAAAATGGCATTCGTAAGACGCGCAATAACAATTCTTTGTCTCATCAACAGCTAACAATTTCACTACGCAGTCCATAATGTAGGTCAGACATAAATACACAAAAACAGCGCAATTTTCACTTTAAAAATATATATTTGATATATTTATGTCGTACACGTCTATCAAGCGATAAAACTATTCATAGCGTCGTAAGTGAAATGACCAAATAAAACATCGATAAGAAATTATCTAGCGACGATAAGTGTTCATAGTTATCGCTCAGTACCTGGGCTAGACACGCGGCAAAATGTTCGTGTACTTATTAATACTCGGTCTAATAATACAAATAAACTGTGCGACCATCTGTGATAGTGATGTCTGTCTGTGTAAACGATACAACAGTGACAAAGAACAGGAACTGGAAGGTGTACAAGTAGTGTGTTCGCATAAACAAGTTAATGTGCTACAAAACAACTATACGCTGCCCGATCTAGTGCACTCGCTGGATTTGTCATTCATCAACATTTCCACTGTCCATTCGTCACCTCTACTAACGTCCAACGCGCTAGTAGAATTAATACTAAACGACAATGTAATCACACAAATCGATGTCAACAGTTTCCAGCTACCAGAACTCAAAAGATTAGATCTAAGTAACAATCAACTAGAGTTTATAGATAAAGACACCTTCAAAGGAGTAAAAAAACTAGAATATTTAAATCTTGCCAACAACAGATTCACTACATTCACAAAACTAATGTTCCATCGGTTGAGCAACCTCAATGAAATCATTTTAGACAATAACAACTTGGGACCCGTACTAAACAACTCGAATTTATTCGACAGAAGTGGTTTCGGACTGACAAACAAGATCAAATCATTGAGTATAAGTGGAATCCATCTGAACCAAGTACCGGACAACTTCTTCGTCGATGCTTACGATATGCGGGAACTGATAATATCGAACAACAACATCAGTCAAATGTTTGAGATCCCGATGACGTTGGAATACTTGGATCTGTCGGACAATCCGATCACGGGCATATTTAGCGAAGACTTTGCTAACTTAGTGGCATTGAAGGTGTTAAAACTGAACAATTTGCAGATACAAACAATTCCTGAGTCTGCATTCCAATATCTACCTGCTTTAAAAACCCTCGAACTCGAAAGAAACAGGAATCTTACCACATTCAGCAAGCTGGCTTTTGGGCGGGAAGTTTTAGTAGATGCTGACAATTTTGGCTTAGAAAGATTGTCACTAAAAGGATCGAGAGTGTCCCAATTAGATGACGCCTTGTTGACGCCGTTCGGAATGCTGACTGAATTAGATTTACAGGGTAACCCCTGGAAATGTGACTGTCAGATCGTCTGGGTGAAACAGCTACAAATACCAGAGGAATTAAACGACCATTTGAGGTAAGTGGTTTACACTTGATGGTTTAAATTCTAAGATTATACATATTCTCAAATCATACTACACGTAGGTAAGTCTAGTCTTCCAATTATGCAGATAAACTATACGTGATGTAAGCCGTGTCTTAAATATAACGATGCAATCATAATTCGATTAGGTATGTACCTAGAGGTATAACCAACAGCTGAGGAAATGCTCGTGAGTCGTGACATGTCGTATGCACCGAGGTTTATTGCAAGTAAATAAAAACACGCGCGATATATAATTCTTAACTTGCATCTGCATTTACCTAGCAAGAATATTATCTCTTTTTTAAGATACGTCGGTACTGTAACTTAGGCTTCTAGTTCAGCCAGAGATTTCATTAACCAGTATCCACTAATAATATAATCCGCTCTCTGGCAGCGACCGCTATGTTTGGAGGCTTTATAAGTGGGCCCACTTCAGTCGAGGTCACTTCGACCCTTTATATCAATCAACAAATATGTATCTTTAGGTACTGGGGATAGGTATATCTCTAAGAAGGTTCGAAAATTTCGTCATTTTTTGGCTAGGACCTCTACTTCGATATTTTTGTTTTATGGAATAGGAGTCAAACGAGCAGACGGATCACCTGATGGTAAGCGAATGTAGACATGATTTTTTTTAATAGGTATGAAAAGAAAACTAACAATTTATTGATTTCCATTCTGATAGGAATGCAAGTAGGTACACCATACATATATGCACTCTGCTAAGGCGTCCATGAATAAACCAATCTGCTGTGGCCACAAAGCGATTTGAATACAAAGGCGAAAAGAAAATATGATGCATTGAGCACATGAAACAGGAAAATTACTAAAACCTTGGAATCAATAATGCTATAGTTTTTCAAACAATGGCACATAGAATTAGCTCTGCATAATTTGTCATTAAATTCAGTAGCGCACTAGATTATGCGCAGGTCGACCTTGCCATTATTGTGAGAGATCTTAAGAAGTATTATATTGTGTAAATATGAGTCACCGACATTATCACACGCAAATAGATTACCGGCTGATGAAAGTCACAATATTTAAATTAGATGCTGTTTATGTAGCTACTTAAATAATAACTACACGTGGAGGAAAATATGTACTGAAATAGGCAAATAAAAACATGATCAGTCTGTCTGTGTGACCATGGGCGCCCAAGATTTCTGTAAATAAAAGGGTATTTAAACTAGTACCTACCTCTTTAAGATTGTGGATGGGGTCCAGACTTACCTACATAATCACTATTGACTCTTTATCACTGAAAGTTCCGATGTTCGTTCGTATGCTCGATTTTCATCATGGACCCGCTTCACTCAAGGTCACTCTCACCCAAGGTCATTCTGACCCTGTCTATTAATCAATAAATATGTCTTTAATGGGGGTGTGGTCACCTCGCGGGGTTCAAAAATTTCGTTATTTTGTGGCTATGATAACCTCTGATTTTCGAGATGTTGCAAGATTTTATTGTGGACTGAACAAGGCCAATCTTACCCCAGGCACCAAGTCCTTATGAAAGGGGTGTGAGCCCCCTTAACTCGAAAATAATCCATATTTTACTAAGTTTTTGCGTAAATCGTAAATAAATAAAAATATTTTCTTTATATTCCAGATGCGCTACCCCGCGGAACTTATTCAATGCACGAATTTTCGACTTGAAACCAAAATACTTCCTTTGTAACGAGAAACACGCTGGATTCATCATTGCGGTGGTGTCAGCGTGTGCGACTTTAGGCCTTATAGCCTTGTGGATATTTATCTGTTTGCCTAAACGACAGTCTAGGTGCCATTTTATACAAAATATGTCTTCATCGACCGCAGCATATAGCGTTCTACCTATGGCTTCTAGTTATAACAATAATGATTTTAATAGGTAAGCATTATGTATGCTTCATTAATTTTAGTCCCAAGTTATAAAAAGAAGTATTGTCCAAATACTCAAACGCTACTCAATTTTAAGTTGCGCTCTATCACTACAAATTCTTTGTAAAATGACAGAGATGGCACGATATTTTAACTACCCACAACTTAAAATTAGTAGCCTTTCAGTATTCGGCCGTAAGTTTGCTTGTTACCTCTTAACGGTTTATCTACTCAACTGATGTTTTTGTTGCTTAAATATTGTTGGGAGTATAGAAAACAACAGGCTAAGCCGTGGGTAAAAGCTAGTATTTTTATAAAAAGCTAATTGTCGTTATAGCATTTAAGGAAGTGTGTAAGCACAGATATTTTATCATGAACAAAATTAAAAATACCTAGCGTGTGTTCGAGTTACCAAATTAATGTGATCGTTTTAGCATAAGATGAATAGAAATTAATAATATATTCTTGTTATTATTTTATAAATAAAAATAATTTGTTACTTTGATAATAAAATAATATTTTTTTTATTTATGAGCGAGATCCAACTCTTAGACAACAAGACATCACACCTCATCGTCGCAGGGGTGGTCAAAAGGGCTCATTAAATTTAATTGAATAGGTACTAAAATAGTACCTTTTAGTTTTCACACTGAAAAATGACGCAAAAATCCGACCTCATTGCAAACAAACAAGCTATTTGATAAGCCAATGAAATGACTGACTGAAAACCCTATACCTAAGTAGAGTCTTTGTCTGAAACACTTGAGTATAAAATACCTATAATTTATTTATCATAAAAGATAAAATAAATCTGTATGACAAATCAAATGACGCAGTAATCGGTACGCAGAAATTTATAATCCTGAACAATGAATTATATTCTTTCTTGCTTTGTTTGTAAAGATAACATTTATATTTCAATGAAAATATTTTTTACAATAAAGATCTAAGATAGACATGAGCACTGTGTTGATTATCTAGATAAATGTAGCGTAGGCAGCTCTCCAGCTGGGTGGAGTAAAGTAGTACACAAAGTGGTTAGATATGAAGAGTAGAAGATCGAAAAGGGGCGTACTATTGGAGAAGCCTGTGTCCAGCAGTGGATGAAAACGAACTGATAAAGATGATTGATCATTCAGCCAAGATGTGTCGGATGTTACAACGAAGAAAAACTTTTAATAGACCAAATAACAATATCTTTCAAAGAAGGAAGGACACTACAGTGCCCATCCTCAAAGCAGTACAAAAATATTGGTTACTACTTCTAGCACTTTTTAAATTCATCAATCACATCTTAGTAAGAGGTACTTTATTTTATATAAGGTTTAAATAAAAAGCAGACATACAAAATTCACTTTATATAATTTAAAAATACAAAATGTGTACAAATTGTTTTACAACAATAAGATATTGTGCATAGTTACATCTATAGGCGTTCATTTTGTGCATTGAACTGAGTCTTTTAAACATAACCAATGATAAGTTAGCCTTTTGGTTTTTAATTTAATAAATTAATTTTATAAATGCTGATGGGCGATATAAGGAGATAAACAATGTACCTAAACTTTTGTAACTACATTATTGACAACACATTTTGAGCATATTTTTAATTTGGCGAGTTCCTTAATTACTTAAGTGATCAAGTCAAGCATGAATAACTACGCATTCGTAACGAAATAGTATCGAGCGTGTTCGACGCTCAAGATAATAAAGTATCCTAACTAGCCAATTTTTTTTGTAATAGTAGTAAGGCAGGAATGCGTTCTCTCTACTCTTATTACATTTCACAAACCTATTGACAACCGACCATCAGCATACTGGCCAATAACATCATTCTTCTATCTTTAAAAATACAATATAAACAATAAAATTAATAAAAATGTCCTATTAGCCTATTTATCTATAATTTCATGGAATAATTTCACATTAATTACAATATTAATTAGTTAATCTAGGCAGGCACAAGCATTTTACAAAAAGGCTGCGTTTTGAGCATTGATATACAGCAATAGCTGCTTTCACAAGGCGTTATGTTACAATTTTGATATTATGAAAGTCAATAACCAATGATGTTATAGGTACAATCTATTGTTTATTGAATTATGGTGAAGCAAGGAGATGGATCACCTGATGGTAAGTTATCAACATCATCAAGGAAGATGTCGTGGTGGCCCAGCTGCTTCTCATGTAATGTAATGATGTTAATTCTTCCACCAAGTTTAAAATCTTAAGATATCGAATGGATAAATGGTGTCAAAGTCAAACCATTTCATTCTATTTTTGCACGGTAAGCACCATTTCTTTGTTTGGCGGTCTAGCTAGTAGTCATTAGACTCAACCCCATGAATATTGGTTATTGAAAACTATTTATAAGACAAAAACTCCATCTCTGATATAATCTTCTGTGATATGATAACACACGTCGATATTTCACTATAGACGTTTTTATTAATCCCCAAAATTGTCAAAAATATAGTTGATAGCTTTATATTTCTATAAAGCATGCTTTCGCATACACTTAAAAAAATACAAAATAATTTACACAGGACATTCTTAAAGTACATCGAAGCCGATAGTCTTTACAGAGATTCACATTTTTCATAAAAAATCAGCAATTAGCTTTATAGCACGATAAAAGCTGCCAAAATTACTTATCAAATGATTTTAGACCTTAATTATGTTACAATTGGCTACAAATTCCAAGCGCTCTTTGGTCATATCAGCGACACCCACACAGTTATAATTGTTCTAAGCACAACCTCATTCACTGCGTTATTTGTAAAAAGTATTTAAAATTGATCATAAAACCAGTCTTACAACTGTCTTTTAATAATAATAATATTTTTTTATAAATTAAAATGTTTATTAAAAATCGAGTATTCAAATCGACATAATTTGTCAAAAAATACTACTAATTTTAAATACTGCTTTTTAGTATCTTACAGATTTCGAGCTCGTCCGACAAGTTTCGAACTTAACCGGAGCCCGATTTATTTACGATTTAGGACCCCGAAATAAGTACTTATTTTCAACATTTCAATAAACATTTTAAATTATACCACTTAAAACTAACACTATAATTAAATAGCTGCCTACTTTGCTTAGTTAACACAATAAATATTTAATATAAACCTATGATATGGTATAATTAGAATTAATATAAGAATATACAATATACTTGAGATTCATTCGTCTCCACTGGGCAGGAATATGTACAAAGCGTATTTTCGAAAATATATCGTACATTTGGCAAGAAACACGTTATTGAAGAAGTTAGCATAAAATTTTAGCCAAATTCTTATTAGTCCAGACTTCATGCTACAATTGAGAAAAACACAATAACAAATTAAACCCATCTGTTTACTATGAATTGTCATAGTAAAAGACTCTACAATAGTTCTACACTAGCCAGGGACTGTCCTTGGGTTCATTTCCATAGTGCATACAGGGATAGTCGCCGATGGCGATTTCTGTCCGATTATATTTAGATTAGACTGCCTCGTTGCCCGAGTGGTCGCAAGTGCGACTGCCGGGCAAGGGGTCTCGGGTTTGATTCCCAGGTCGGGCAAAGTACTACTGGGTTTTTAAAAAAATCTCAGTAGAAGCACGGAGTCTGGAAATGTGCCCGGTATATGGCAATAGGCTCACCCCCTATTACATGGGACTTATAATATAAATAGCGAAAAGTGGGTGTTACATTGTACAGTGGCATTAGGTGCCGAAATGCCTACCCCTTCGGGGATAAAAAGGCGTGATGTTATGTATGTATGTACATTTAGATTAAAGTTGTCTAAAGGGCCTCTGTGCAGTTGGCTTCGGCCCCTCGTAAGAATCCTAAATGACCGGGAACCTGTGGTCCCGTGGGTTGTGAAGACATGCATAATAATTACACTAATTATTATTAAAGTGGCGTTTGGCGCTTCATAGTATCTGCCTGTACTAACAGAATATTCAAGGCTACATACAAAAACAGATAAATTCCCTTTTAAAGTTTGTTAAAAATACGCAAAGTACATCAGTTCCTTATTCATAATATTTAACCTACTACCCTAACTACAAAAATTGTGCTTATTACATAAAACATTATGTAAAATATGACACGAATGTACAAATTGTTTGCTATAGACTAATAAAATAATATAAAACATTAAATGCAGTCTAGTCTTTTCTAATTAATGTGTAAAATAATAACAAAATGGCGGCTCAATCGTTTGTTTGCTTATAAAACTATTTGAGATTCTTGTTTACTGAGATTCCATTCAAAAATGTATTTATAGAATGGTAAAAATACCTACAAAAAATTTGAGTATTTGTTTTTAGAATGGTAAAAATACCTACAAAAAATTTGAGTATTTGTTTTTACTTCATTGGGTAAAAAAATTTAGTATTGTTTGTCGTGTAATTAATATTAACGACCATACTAGGAGTGTAAGGTTTCAGTTATCATTCAGTCTCCAAATGTGGCAGTTTGAGGAGCGGTTTCTTCCAAAAGATACGTTTCGCGATATCGAGACGTTATACGTTATACGATTATTTTTGTGTACAATATTTTGGTTTCATTACAAAAGCTTTCCCCGTACGTCAGAGTATTTTATTTTTAATCAAACGTGCAAACGCATTATTTCAGTTCTATGTTGTTAATCTATATAAATAAAAATGAATTTAGCATTTAATAACGCTAAACCGATTTGGCTAATTTTGAAATGTTCATAGACGTTCACGGAAGGTATAAAAGGTGAGAAAAAAATTATTAGGCGGTACGAAGTTTGCCGGGTCAGCTAGTCTTCATATAAAATTAATCTCTATCTTCGGCAAAGGATACAAAAATAGAGAATTACCTATACTCGGAATTTTAATTCGATTCCAGATTTGACAATTTCAGTGTTGCAACGTTATGACAAGTACTAAATAGTGATGTTGCGAAATTATTCGATATGGAAATGCAATATTTCTGGATCGATTCTTATCGTTTATAATTTTACTCTCGTAAACTAAGTATATCAGGAAATTAAATATTTCTGAACCGATCATTTAGTTTTGACGATTAATAAACGATCTGAGACTTTTCTTTTATAATTGTGTGTGAAATAAATAAAAAAATGTCATCATGAAGGAACATGACAAATAAAACAGATAGATGTATTATGGTAATAAGTTATTTTATAAATTGTCGCCGTCATCGCTATCGCTATCCTGTCACTTTCTGTAACATTTATTATAAAACACACACACTGATTGTTTATCGATTTTTGTGTTCATCACTACACTATTATATGTGGTATCATTATTTCACAAAATGACAGTAGCTATTGTCAAATCTGGAATCTAATTAAAATTCTGACTATAGT